CTTCCGCGAGGGTCACCGAGTGATCAAGGAATGGAAACCGCTTCAGTGGACCCTGGGGTGGGGGATGGATACCCTCCCAGGGCCCCCCAACACACACACACACACACACACACACACACACACACACACACACACACTACCCCTTGTAAGAACGGAGAACGGTTGGGAGCTGCCCACACAGATAGAGAGGCTGTGCCTTCCCAAGCAATTAACTGACAGGCCCTTGTCCACTGCACAGATGCAAGGATGGAGGCCTGGAGCCCGACCCCAGCAAAGCTAGACATCGCATTCCAGTCCTTTCAAAACATCAAAGTGACCAAACATCTCTGATGTGGGGGTGGGGGGACTGCATCTGGCCACATGGGGGAGGCTGAGCAGGCCTGGGACAGGTGTCATGGAAGGGGAGGTGGGTGCCGTGGGGGCACAACGGGGGCGCCCCCTTACCATCTCGTGGCAAGCCCGGCTCTTGAGGGCCATGGCCCCATACTTGCTGTAGCAGGTCTCCCCACTGTTCCCTGCCAGCACCGCCATGTCCGTGCAGGTCACACACAGCAGCCCTGTGGAGGGCGGGCCAGGCGGTGAGGCACCAGGAGGGAGGGGGCACAGGTCCGGGGCGCAGGCACAGCCCGGCCTCACCTCCTTCACTCACGGCCTGCACTGCAGCGTCCAGGAAGGCCGCCGGGCTGCCGTAGGGGTCCAAGTCGATGACGTCAAAGCGCTCGGCGACCCTCTGGTGTTGGTACATCAGCATCCTGGGGATAGAGGGGATGAGGGAAGGTCCTTAGCCTCCTGCACTGCTCTGGCCCCGCCAAGTGGTCAGCTGCCCAAGTTCGGGTCCTTTTCCCCTTTAAACACTGAAGGGTCCTAACTGCTTGGAGAACCGTTACATTGTATCAGCGGTTACATTGTATCAGCGGTTACATTGTATCAGCGGTTATATTGTATCAGCGGTTTATAGTCTCCTGCAGAGAAGGCAGGATGCCCGAAGGGCTTTTTTTGATTGTTGCTGTTCTTTTCAAGACTCAGTTGGATGAAGGTCGCTTACAAAGACAGATCTTCTATCTGCCCATTCACTCCCTAAATGGCCACAGTGGCCAGGCTCAAGCCAGGAGCCAGGACTCCATTTGGTTCTCCCACATAGGCGCAAAGTCCCAAGCGCTTGGGTCATCTTCTACTGCTTTCCTAGGAGGTGGACCGCAAGTGAAGCAGCTGGGACTTGAACCAGCATCCCTATGGGATGCAGGTGCTGCAGGGGAGGCTTCGCCTACTAAACCTAAACCTAAACCTTTTTTTTTTTTAATCCTTCCTTGCCTTACACATGCCGGAATCCCATATAAGCCCCAGTTAGTATTCTGTTTGCTCTGCTTCCCATCCAGCTCCCTGCCTGTGGCCTGGGAAAGCAGTAGAAGATGGCCTTGGGACCCTGCACCTGCATGGGATACCTCGAGGGGGGCTCCTGGCTTTGGATCTGCTCAGCTCCAGCCGTTGTGGCCCCCTGGGGAGTGGGTCAGAAGAAGGAGGATTTTTCTCTGTGTATTTTCTCCCCTTGTCTTTGTAGATCTGACTTTCCAATAAAAAGAAATACATCATGTTAACGTGTACAGTGGAGAGTGTAACGAACAGTCCAGCACACTCGTCCAACTTCGTTTGCATCAACGGTGCCCTGCACACACGACCTCCATGCTGGTCCCACCGAGACCCTTCCGCACGCCCATGTGAGCACCGTCTTCTTCCACAGCGATGCTTGCACAATGCTGAAATCGATGACGGACACACTTCTCAGCTTGTGTCTCCAGGGGCAAGTGTTGTGGCCTGGCTGGTTTCAAGTCCAGCTTGCAATGCCTGCGTCCCCCATCCGAGCACCCGGTCTATCCTGGCTGCCCCACTGCAGGACCAGCTCCCTAGTCAAGTGCTTGGAAAAGCAGTAGAGGATGGCCCGAGTGCTTGGGCCCCTGGATCCATGTGGGGAGACCCAGATGGAGCTCCTGGCTCCTGGCTTCAGCCTAATCATTATAGGTACTTGAGGGAGGGAACCAGCAGGTGGAAGACTTTCTGTCTCTCTCTCCCCCATCTCTCTGTCTCCTATCACAGGAGAGAATCTGATTACTGAACAGACAGGAACACAGGTCTGGGACCCCAGAGCAGGCCCTCACAGTGGTCCACTCATTCTAGAGCGGATGTCTTAGCTGCTTGGCGGCCCATGCTCCCCACGACCTACCGGGCATCGGCCTGGCTGGGCTGTACCAGGTGGGCCACGTTGTTAAGCTGCACGTTGCGGCGTATGAGCTCCACAGCCCGGGCTGAAGCGTCATTGGCGACCACACAGTGGAGCCCAGGCACCTCGCGGGCAAAGCGGATGGAGCGAAGTCCGGAAGCTGCAAGCCCCTCCAGTACCCGCAGGCCTCCCTGTGGAAGGAAGCCGATGGTTCCATGGACATAAGCTGGTCTTGGGCCTCTCTTCTAGGTCCCAGAGAGGGCCTTCCCACCCCCACCCCCTTTGGGTTCCAGGGCTACTCCCCGACCCCTCTGCTTGGACGCACCTCACAGATCTCCCCCACAACAGCTGTCCGAGGCTGGCCATCTGGCGCCGAATCTTCCCCGTCTTTCAGCTCAGCCTTTCCCTCCTCTGGCTCTGACAAGTCCACAACCACCTTCTGCAGGTCCTTCTCACCTGGCACCTTGACTGTCATCACCCAAAGGCACCAGTGAAGGACTCTCCAAGCCCTGTTCCCGCTCCCATTCCCACCCTACCTGGAGAAATCTCACAGGGGACAGTGCAGTGGTGTAGCCAGCTAATCCTCTGCCTGCTCTACTAGCATCCCAAATGGGCGCCGGTTCGTGTCCCAGCTGCCCCACTTCCCATTCAGCTCCCTGCTTGTGGCCTGGGAAAGCAGTGGAGGGCGGCCCAGAGCCTTGGGTCCCTGCACCCGCGTGGGAGACCTGGAAGAAGCTCTTGGCTTTGGATCAGCTCAGCAATGGCCATTGCTGCCACTTAGGGAACCAGCAGATAGGCGATCTCTCTCTGAAACACTATCTTTCAAGTATAAACAAATAAGCTTTATTTCCTAAAGTGTCCTGGGCGGGGACAGGGGTGGGGAGGGGAGGCTTGGGGGGTGTGACAGTCTTCTTATGTGACCTCTCCCAGGAGTCTGGACCCGACTCACTCTGGATTCCTTTGGCCCGAAGCTGAAGGCGGGCGAATTCAGTGATCACCGCACACCTGGCAGGAGATGGAGGGTGAGCTCAGGGCCCCTCCCCAGCCCACCTACCCCCACCATCCGCCCTGCGACCCCCCACCTCGCTCACGTCAGGTCCCGGTTGAACTCCTGGACAGGGTTGTAGAAGACCTCGTTGGCGCTGGGGAAGGCGATCCTGGCGGTACCCTCGGTGACAATGGTTTCCTGGGCCTGGGGGCAGGGCTGGGGACCGTTGTCCATCGCGAGATCCCGCGGGCCCTGAGGGGGACGCCCCTCCCAGAAGCGGGCTCTACAGAGGCGACGAACGGAAAAGAGAGCGAGGTTTAGCTGGCGGACGAGCCTCCCATGGGACATCGGATGCCAAGCCTGGTCGGAGGGAGCGGGAGAGGTACAGAGTCAGACAGCGGCCTTTGGGGACGGGAGGCGGCCTGCGCTTCGGGGAAGTACGGGACGACGGTCCTCGCGGAGGCAGAAGCTCAAGCGGGGTCCGTCCTCCGTCCCGATCCTTCCCCGCCCTCCTCACCCGCGCAGAGAAACCGACTTCGGGTCGATCCACGTTCCTCAGATTAGGACCTGGGCGCCGCCATGTTGGCTCGGTGGGAGGGCAAGTCACATGATCGGGTTTAGCCAATCCACGAGGCGGCCTACGGTGGGCAGCCGGGGTCAAGCGCCTTTGTAGCCCAGTGTGTTCCTTTAGTTAACTTGGATGTTTCCCGGGAGTGAGGGCGGCTGCCAGACGGGCACAGGGGCGATCGCGGAGCCCCCCGACACCGCTCCTGATGGGCCCGGATGAGGGTGAGGGCGGCAGGAGTGGACATGGTGTAAAACATTACACGAAACGAGCTTTTCGACTACCCATTTATTTTTATTGGAAAGTTAGGGAGGAGAGATAGAAAAATTTCTTCCATGCACTCCCCGAAGTGGCAGCAATGGCCTTTGGAGCTGAGCCGTTCCAAAGCCAGGAGCCAGGAGCCTCCTCCAGGTCTCCCACGTAGGTGCAGGGTCTCAAGGCTTTGGGCCGTCCTCCACTGCTTTCCCAGGCCACAGGCAGGGAGCTGGGTGGGAAGTGGGGCAGCTGGGACAGGAACTAGTGTCTATAAGGGGTCCTAGAGTGTGCAGGGCAAGGAGAACTTTAGCCTCTAGGTTATCGCACCCGGCCTTTATTATTTATTTCAAAGGCAGATACACAGAGAGAAGGATAGACTGAAAGTTCTTGTGTCTGCTGGTTCACTCCCCAAGTGGCTGCAGTGGAGTGAAGCTGATCCCAAGCCAGGAGCTTCTTCTGCGTCTCCCACGCAGGTGCAGGGTCCCAGGGCTGTGGGCCGTCCTCCACTGCTTTCCCAGGCCACAGGCAGGGAGCTGGATGGGAAGTGGAGCAGCCGGGACGTGACCCAAAGCGGGTGGCCATGCTTGCAGGGGGAAGATTCTCCAATAGAGCCATCGCACCCGCTCTCCACGGTCTGTCGGAACGTTCTGGAAGGGCAGTGTGATTTGCACATGAAAAGCCGGGTGGCTTGGAACTGGCTGGCAGCCTGGGGAGAAAGAGTCGCGGCGTGCTCGGAGCTCGGCTGGCCTGGCCTGGGGGGGCGTGTCGTGGGCGTGTCGGCGGCGACCCCGCCCTCCCCCACCGAGCCGGGCCCTGCGCTGGCTGGCTCGCTGGCTCGGCGCTCGGCTGGGCCGGCCTGGCCCACAATGAATGGCCGCCGCGGCTGCCGCTGCTGCTGAGGCGGAGGCCGCGGAGGCGGAGGCCGAGGCCCCGGCGCAGGGGGGCGCGCCCCGGGCCCAGGCCGAGCCTCAGCCGCCGCTGCGGAGCGCGGCCAGGGCGCAGGTGAGACGGGCCGGGCCCGAGGGCTCGGAGCGCCGGGCGTGTGTGTGCGTGCTGGGGGGGGGGGTGCGCTCCTGCAGCGGCCTTGGCCGGTTTGGGGGGCGCGCGGGGCCGCCGGGTGCAGGGCCAAGGCCCGGTCCTCCCTTCTTGCACTCGCGGAGGGCGGGCGGGCCTCAGCTCGGATCTTCTCTGCTCACCCCCCCCACACACACACACACACCCTCCGAGGCGCTCGTCCTTCCCGGCGGGAGCTGGGGTGGTGGCGCCGATGGGGAGGGCACCGGATCGAGCCGGTGGGCAGGTGGTTCCCGGGAAGTTTGGGGAGGAGGAGGAGGAGGAGGAGGAAGAAGGGACACGCGGTGGTGGGGGGTGGGGTGGGGGCGAGGAAGCCGCCGGAGGGGGAGGGGAGCGCCCGGCGTGGGGGAGGGGGTGGCGAGGCGGGGCCGGGCCTGGCAGGTACGGTCCGGGCTCCCGGAGGAGGTGAGTGGGTCAAGTTACAGGCCTGGGGGCGGCTGCGGGAGAAGCCCAGGAAGTGGGGCGGGCTCGGTGGGTGTGGGCGGAGTTGTTGGTTGGTTGGTTGGTTGGTTGGGGTGCAGGCGGAGAGCCCGGAGATGTTGGCTGGCTGGCTGGCTGTGTTTGGGGGGGGTGGGCTGGGTCATGTGAGGTCAGGGCTCGGCCCACCCGACGTGGAGGGGTGATCGCCATAGGAGGAGGAGTGGGGATGGATGGGGGGGGGGGGCGCAGGCCGAGGCTTAGGGCTCTAGGCTGGATGTGGGGATGTGGGGGCGGGTCAGGAAAAACTCGTGTGACCAGAAGGGAGGTGGCAGTCTGTGTGTGAGTCCTCCCGCACCCCCGCCGTGCTCACCGTGGGGGGATGGGGGGCTCCGCCAAAGTGTTGCAAGCCCCAGCCACCCCTGGGGTGGGTATTTGTGTAGGTAGGGGGTACAGCCATGCAAAGCCTACTTAGCTGGGACATCCTGGTCACCCCACTTCCGGTTGCCCTGGCCCACGTCTCACCCCGTTTGTCTGTAGGGGGGCGGGGCACCCCAGCCCAGCAAGCAACCCCCGAGTGTCTTAGGGGTCTGCTTTTTTTGCACCCTGGAACCTGCCAGAAGGGCACCTCCCCAGTTCTGTGGGAAAGCACACATCTCCCTGCCTCCAGGCTTCCCCGAAGGGTAAGAAGAGCTTAAGGTGGTCCCTTGGGGGTCCACGCTGGGTGCCTTTTGTCCTCTCCCTGTGGTCCAGCCCAGGAGGGGGCATGTGAGGCCAGGGTTTGTTTCCGGAGGGTCAGCCTGCTGCTGCCGCCCCAGATCTGCTGGCCAGGGTACTCCTTGGCCGCTGTTCCAGCCCCCCCACCAGGGGAGGCTGGGTTCTGAGTGTCCCCTGGGGACTGTAACAGTGGCACCTTCTTTCTCAGAGGGCCTGGTGACTCCGCCAGCTCTCCCAGGGGCTCTGGGAGGACTGGGTAGCCCTGAGCAGGAAGGGGATTTTAAATGCACGCTTCCTCCCCTTGCAGCTGCGGCCGCTGCAGCGTGTCCCTCTGGCTTTGGTCTTGGGTCAGGCTGTCCCGGCTCTTGTTCTTTGTGGGGTCCTTCTGGTCGGGATGTAACCGCGTGCAGGAGCCACAAACTAGTGCTGGGTAAAGGAGGGCACCCACCCCTCAGTTCTGGGGAAGGGTAGGAATTGGGCTGGTGCGCCACACTTGCCTGCCCACCTGATGGGGGGGCAACAGCCGGTATCAAGGAGGAAGGTGGGGTGCCATGTGCTTGTAGCCACGGGTAGGGTGGGGGGTGGCACACAAGGCCAGCTGCAGTTGGCACCTTGTGGGGGGCAGTGCAGATCACTTGTGTGGTTCCCTGCACCTCCCCCCACCCAGGATAGCTTTCCCTGTGGGGGAGGGGGCTGGAGGAGAAGCTGCCCCCAGTAAGGGATCCCAGAGCAACTTTTGTCTGAGGACCCGCTGGGGCCTTTAGGCGCACCTGAGTGCTGGGAGGGTGGAGAGACTAGCTTGGGGGCAGGGTTGGTGCGGGCTCCTGGGGAGGGGGCGGCTTTGTCTTCCACCCCCTGGAGGAGGGCAGGCCAGCTCTCTTCCTCCCCTCCCCCTCCCGGACTGGGCAGGTTCATTGGTTCGCTCCCCTGAAGCCATCCTGCAGGGGGCGGGGTCTAGGGCAGGTAGGCGGAGTCCGCCTGAATGTCCCAGGTTTGGCCAGGGTCTTCTCCCAACCCCCAACCCCTGGTGCTCATCTTTCTGGGGGTCGCCGCTGCCCACGTGGCAGGGGACGGGAACCTGCGCCGCCTCTTAGGCCAGATACCCCCCAGAGGCCGCTCCTGTGGCTCAGGGCTCCTAAGGCCCTTGAGCGCTTTTCTGGACTTGAACCCTTGGCTACAGGTTTCTGCTGCCTCGGGCGTCTTGGACGAAGGTCTTGGGGTTCCTAAGAGGCCATGGTGGGGGGTGATGACGTCTGGATTAAACGCTGCAAAGCCTTGAGGGCTGCAGGTCCAGCCAGTGGAGAGTTGGGCATAACCCCCACGTGTCTAGTCCTGGCCGAGGGTCTTGACCTTCTCTCTGCTGGTGAAGGAAGACACGCCTGTCCCTGGGTTCTGGAGGGAGATCCTGAGGAGGTGGGCCGGGCCGCCGCTCCTGCGATCATGCTGCCGGTGTCACCCAGCACCCGCTGAGGGTGAGCGGCGACCTGCCACTGTCCTTTGGTTATCATGTCCTTGAAACGGCCTTTTGAGGCGGCGGCTCCTGCTGCCTGTACTAGCCCAGCGTGCAGCCGGGGAGTGACGGTGCTGGGCTTCCGGGTCAGTGTGAGTGAGAGGCCTCCCCTGGCATTTGGATCAGGTGCCCGGATCCCGGGAGTGTTGGCTTCCATCCTGAGACAGGGCAGCGTTGTTGTTGTTGTTGTTAGCTGTTGATTGGAAAAGCAGATAAATTTCCTATGTGCTGGTTCACACCAAGCCAGGCTGTAGCTGAGACCTCCATCCAGGTCTCCCACAAGGGTGCAGGGGCCCAGGCACTGCTTTGCCCAGTCCTGTTAGCAGGGAGCCGGCTCGGAAGCAGAATAGCCGGGACTTGAACTGGTGCCGTGGTATGGGATGCTCGTGCTGCAGACAGCGGCTTAACACACTGTGCCATGACGCCAGCCGGCAAGGTTCAAATTCTGTGCCCCACCTGGCAGGGCCCCTGTGTAGACCACCCTTTCCCCCCCAGGTTATCGCAGGGCCTTTGCACTTGTTGACCCCTCCCCCTGTAATCCTGTGCGTCTTCCCTTGGTGGGAACGGGCTTCTGGGCCCAGCAGGCAGGAGCTAAGTGAAGACGGAGGCAACCGAGCAACCGCTTGTCTGAGACCAGATTGCCAAGACTGCGAGTGGGAGGGAGGGGGCGGGAGAGGCGGCAGCTGGAGGGCTGCTCATTCCTGGAGAAGGCAGCAGTGAGGAGAGGAGGGGGTGGGAAGAGCTGCCCCCCACTTCAGCCCCTGCCCAAGTCCCCAGGCAGCCAGCGCACCCCAGCTCTGGAGGACAGGGCTGGGCCTCTCCCAGGAGAGTTTTTGCCCCCGTCAGCTTTGGGTCCTGGCACCTGTGCCCCACTGCACCCAATTCCCAGACAGGAGCCAGAAGGCCCCAGGACGACCCAGGCTCATCCTGGCCAGCAGAGCCCTGGGGGCAGGCCCATTAGCTCCCTGCTCATGCACCTGCTGGAAGAGCCAGCAAATCCGGGAAGTGAACCTGGCCCCCACCTGTCAGGGTGCAGGTGCACAGGAGGCCCCTGGTGTCAGCTCCAGTCGCTAGTTCTGTTGTCCTCTCCAGATTGAATTTGACCACAGCAGCTATGCAGGGAAGCAAAATACATCGCAACTGTTGCTCCTACTGATTAAAAAAAGATACATTTGACTGTGGCTGCTGTGTGCTGCTCCTGGCGTTACAGCCGACCCCTGGGCGGAGTCCCGGACAGGACAGGCAGGCTGGCCACTGCTGGGTTTCCGGTCCTTTTTTTTTTTCCCTACCGAACTCGAACTCGGGAGTGCAGAAGTGGTCCTGGAGGTGTCCCTGCAGGTCCCAGGATCCGCACCTGCAGGGGATGGGCGGTACTGCCCCTTGGTTGGGAACCCACGGAAGGTTCCAGCAGTAGGAGAGCCTGGGGTGGGGTGGTTGGTATCTTCATCCTGCGCCAGTGGGCTGGGACAGCTACAGAGTGGCGTGATGTGGGGGTGTCACGTGGTCAGCTTCTGGTGGGTGCTGCCCTCAGGTCCACACATCCGATCTCATCTAACCTGAACCCTTCCTAAGAAAGAACCCCCACCCCACCCCCAGTGCCAGGCTGCTACCACCACCTTTTCCTGGGTCTGGGCTCGCCTCCCCAGGCGAAGTGGTGTGCTGGCTGGGACCCTCGATCTGTGATCCCTTTTTCATGCCTGAGGCAGGGCCACCCCCAGCTGCCAGACAGGCCCTTGGAAGGTACCTACCCCAGGAGTGTTGGGACGTGCTGGGAGCTGTGTGCCTCACCGTGGCCTGGCATCAGGAAATGCGTTTCCCCACTGGGACCAGGCCTAGCGGTGCTGGAAGTGTCCCGGCCACCCCTGTGGTCCCCTGCCTGGACCTTCCCCCAGCAGGGGACTGTTCCCATTGAGTGTTGAGGCAAGAGGATCTCAGATCTGGCTCTGCTTCCTTGGGAGTTGACAGCCAAGTGGGACGTGATAGCCTAGGTCAAGCAGGTGTGGGAGGAGGCTCAGCTGAGGGCACAGTTTGGACCCTGTACAACAGGCCTGAGCCCCAGAGAGGTGCATGCATGGGATGTTTGGGTGCTAGGGCGAAGGATTTCCTGGGAGAGGAGGGTGCAGAGCCAGTCGCTGTGGGGAGGCGGGGAAAGACAAGAGGGCCTCTGCCAGCTGTTTCCCCATCTCCCCACCCAGCTGCTTGTTCTGGGAACTTAGCCCTGGCTGGGGCAGGTGCAGGGGCTGCCAGCATGGCCCAAGACAAGTGTCCCAGTTCAGTAGACAGGGGAAGTGGCCAGGGGATGGTACCCAGGACCCGTCTCCTGTGGCCCCCTTTCTATAATCGCTGGGCTCTCCTCACCGTCTCCTTCCCCGCACCGTCACCTGTAGAGGCAGTGGCCAGGGACCTGGAGCCCCCTCTCTCCCCATATGATGGAGTCAGGTGCCAGGGTGCCCTAGCAGCAGGCCTATGCTGTCCTGTCCCCTAGATCCAGGGCTCAGCTGCCCCACTGCCCTCACCCCCCGCAGCTTCCTCCAAACTGCAAGGCTGCCTTCCCACCAGGGGGCTTTCTCTTCCTATTTCTCACCTTTCTTCATGCTTCTCTCTCATTTATTTATTTTAGTTGAAAGGCAAGGGACCTTCCGTCCTCTGGTTCACTTCCCAGGCAGTCACCACAGCCTGAGCTAGGCTGGTGCACCACCAGGACTGTTCTCCTGGGACTCCCATGTGGGCGGCAGGGACCCAGCCGCTTGGGCCTCTCCCACTGCTTCCCCCGGTGCATTAGCAGGGAGCTGGATCAGAAATGGAGCAACTGGGACAGAACCAGTGCCCACATGGGATGTAGGCACTGTAAGTGCCAGCCCTTTCACCCACTGCACCCTCTGCTTTTTTTTTTTTTTTTATAACTAAAAATGTAGAAAGAGAGAGAGAGAGAGATCTTCCATCCACTGGTTCACTCCTCACATGGCTGCAGGGAGCAGTGCTGGGGCAAGCCAAAGCCAGTAGCCAGGATCCCCTACAGCAGCTCGGTCCCCCTGGATGAGTGGGGCGTGTGAGCCGTCCCCCACTGCCTCTCCCAGGGGGCGCAGGTGCAGGGAGCCTGACCGAGGCCCTGACTTTGGATAAGGGTGAAGGCCGAAGGCCTCCCAAGCCGCATCTTAGCCAGCCAGCCGTGAGCAGCTGATCCCGGACAGGACAAGCCAAGATGCCTGCACCCACGGCATGGCCCGTCTCCTCCGAGCAGCTCCCAGTCAGCCCTCTGTGGCGGCAGATCCCACATCCCAACATTCTCCCAGCAGCACACCGGAAGTGCTGTGGCCAGGATTGTATCCAGGGTGTCTTTTCCCTGCCCCCCCAAAGTGATACAGTGTAACGGGTGTTTCTGCAAGCGCTTACCGGGCAGTCATGGTGCCGAGCTGCAGAGGCTGCCACCTGCTCCAGAATGGACCTGCGCATCCTCTGCTGACGTCAGAGGCTGGTGCATGATGGGACAGGAAGTGGCTCCATCTCCAGCCAGGGTTTTTTTTTTCTTTGTTTGTTTTGGTTTTTAGGATTTATTTGAGGTATCAGGGTTGTAAAAAGTCTTGAAATAAGAATAGCTTAAGGGAAAGAGTGGAGCAGCCAGGACTCCGACCCGGCGCTTCAGATGGGGATGCTGTCGTGGCAGGCAGCGTGGGACCCCTTCTGGACCACCCCGCCCTGCCCCCTCACCCTCGCGCGGCCCCCAACAGCTGCTCTCTGTCCCTGTCGCCCCCTCGCAGCCTTCGCCATGGCGCAGATCCTGCAGATGGAGATCCCGAACTTCGGTAACAGTATCCTCGAGTGCCTCAACGAGCAGCGGCTGCAGGGCCTGTACTGCGACGTGTCGGTCGTGGTCAAGGGGCACGCCTTCAAGGCGCACCGCGCCGTGCTGGCGGCCAGCAGCTCCTACTTCCGGGACCTGTTCAACAGCAGCCGCAGCGCCGTGGTGGAGCTGCCGGCCGCCGTGCAGCCGCAGTCGTTCCAGCAGATCCTGAGCTTCTGCTACACGGGCCGCCTGAGCATGAACGTGGGCGACCAGTTCCTGCTCATGTACACGGCCGGCTTCCTGCAGATCCAGGAGATCATGGAGAAAGGCACCGAGTTCTTCCTCAAGGTCAGCTCGCCCAGCTGCGACTCGCAGGGCCTGCACGCGGAGGAGGCGCCCTCGTCCGAGCCCCAGAGCCCCGTGGCGCAGACGTCCGGCTGGCCGGCCTGCAGCACGCCGCTGCCCCTCGTGTCCCGGGTCAAGACGGAGCAGCAGGAGTCGGACTCGGTGCAGTGCACGCCGGTGGCCAAGCGCCTGTGGGACGGTGGCCCCAAGGAGCTCGGGAGTGGCGGCGGCGGCGGGGGCAGCAACGGGGGCGGCAGCCGCAAGATGGCCAAGTTCTCCGTGCCGGACCTGGCCGCCAACCGACAGGCGCAGCAGGCGCCGGTGGTGGCGGCAGCCCAGCCGGCCGGGGTGGCCGTGGCCGCGGTGGTGGGAGCTGGGCAGCCGGCCAGCGGAGCAGTGGCAGCGGCGGCAGCAGCAGCAGCAGCCGCGGCCGCCGGGGGCATGGTGAGCGGGCCCAGCACGTCGGAGAGGACCAGCCCGGGCACGTCCAGCGCCTACACCAGTGACAGCCCCGGTTCCTATCACAACGAGGAGGACGAGGAAGAGGACGGCGGGGAGGAGGGCTCGGACGAGCAGTACCGCCAGATCTGCAACATGTACACCATGTACAGCATGATGAACGTGGGTCCAGCAGGTGAGGCGCCGGCCCCGCGCACGCGCCGCCCGGCCTCCCCGGCGCCCCCGCGCACACGCGCCACTCTGCCTCTCCCCGTAGCCGAGAAGGTGGAGGCCCTGCCCGAACCCGTGACCCCAGAGTCCCGCAGTCGCATCCGAGTGCGGCAAGACCTGGCGTCGCTTCCGGCCGAGCTCATCAACCAGATCGGTAACCGCTGCCACCCCAAGCTGTACGACGAGGGCGACCCCTCGGAGAAGCTGGAGCTGGTGACAGGTGGGCCGCCTTGCGCACCCCGTTCCCCTGCACCTGGGCGCCTGCCGTCGCGTGGGGAGGCCGTGGGGGGCGGGATCGGGAGCCCCTGGCCTCCAGGCTCGTGGCTTGTCCTGCCACACTGACGGGGGGGAAGGGGGTCACCCTGGAACCCTCCCTGGCTCTGCCCCGTGGGTCCCCGAGCCCTGCCCGCTGCAGCGCAGCCATCCCCGCTCCCGTCCTCACCAGGTACCAACGTGTACATCACGAGGGCGCAGCTCATGAACTGCCACGTGAGCGCGGGCACGCGGCACAAGGTGCTGCTGCGGCGCCTCCTCGCCTCCTTCTTCGACCGGTGAGGCCCTGACGGGAGCCCACGCGTCTCCCTGGGTTCGCGGGGGGCCGGGGTACGGGGCACGCAGCACCCTCCGGCCGGCCGCTGGCAGAGCGCGCTGAGCGCCGTGCCCCCTCCTCTTGCCCCAGGAACACGTTGGCCAACAGCTGCGGCACGGGCATCCGTTCCTCCAGCAACGACCCCAGCCGCAAACCACTGGACAGCCGCGTCCTGCACGCCGTCAAGTGTGAGTCCCTGGGCCTTGGCGGGGGCCGGGAGGACACGCTCCGAGTGGCAGGGGGCTGGCAGCGCTGCCCAGGCGACGTGGGCAGTGGCTAGCACTCCACACCTAGGCAGTTCCCGCCGGGTTCCGGGGTTCCAATGACAGCGAGACCGCCAGGCCATCCAGTCAGGGGGTGGGCCCTTGCAGGGCGCGGGGCTTGGGTGAGCAGGTGCAGGTGGGCAGATTCTGGCAGGGCAGGGCAGCATGGGGAGTGGGACCCCCAGGACCTGAACCTCCGCCCCTCCCCAACCCCCCGCTGGCCACACAGACTACTGCCAGAACTTCGCCCCCAACTTCAAGGAGAGCGAAATGAACGCCATCGCGGCCGACATGTGCACCAACGCGCGCCGCGTGGTGCGCAAGAGCTGGATCCCCAAGCTGAAGCTGCTCACCGCCGAGGGCGACGCCTACACTACCTTCATCAGCGACACGGGCAAGATCGAACCCGACGTGATGGGCGTGGAGCACGGCTTCGAGCCGGCCAGCCACGACAGCGAGGCGGGGCCCTCGGCCGAGGCCCTGCAGTGACCTGCCCTGGGCAAGGGGGTGGGGGGCCGCCACACTCCTCCCCCACGCACCCCGCCCCACCCAGTCCTGTCACACACACGTGTACACACACACACACACACATCTTGGTCACGAGCTACTGTCTGTCCCCCATCCCCAGGCCCCACAGGGGGTGCTGCATGCTCCGCCCCTCCCCCTGCCCCCCTTTCCCCAGTGTGAGCCGGGTGGGCAGGGCCGAGTGCGGAGTGGCCTTCAGTAACACTGCTCCCCTGTCCTCACCCCCTCCATCGGCTCCCCCCCACACCTGTCAGGGCCTGGCCCCTCACTACAGCCAGCTCCCGGGGACTGGCAGTGGGCGGAGGTGGGGGTCCAGAGGGTCTTGGGACCCTCTCCCCTGCCAGCCCGCTCACCCCTTGCCCCCGCAGTGCTTCCATGGCTCCAAAAGCGCCTTCCTGACTCCCTCCGGGTGCCCGCGCCCCAGGGGCTGGGTGGGCGGTGAGGCCGTGGGGTCTGCAACCTTAGGGTGGCTGCATGGGGATGGCAGGGCCAGCGCCTTCCCTGGCCTTCACCCCCTCACCTCCACTCAGCCTCTCACACACACCCTCTTGGTCCCCCTGGAGCCTGGGGGAGGGCGATCCTAGGTGACAGGAGGGGCCTTCGGGGCACACGGAAGGTCTCTGAATCTGGGCGTGCGGTGTGTGCGTGTGCCCGAGTGTGTGCGTGCGCGCCTTTTTTTTTTTTTTTTTTCTTTCCAAGCGAATGAAGGTACCAGAGGCAGTTGGACCAGGGTTGGAACCTAGGGGAGCAGGCTGGGGCAGGGGCTACTGCCCTCTTCCATGCTCCATCCTGCCCCTGCCCTGCCCCCCATCACCCACCCACCCTAAATACACCGGGGCAGGGCCCCCTGAGCCCCCACCCATGTACATACTTTTTAAGACATTTTTTTAGCGAATGAAATATTGAAGTATAAGATTTCCTTTTATTTTTCAAACCAAGGGGATGGCATCTCCTGCCCCCCCACCTCCTGTCCACTCCAGGTCGGGGGGAGGCTATGGAAGGCAGGATCGGGGGATGGGAGGGGCAGGCCGAAAGCGTGTGTGGGTGTTGGGGTGTGTGTGCGTGTTTGTGCCTGGCTCCGGGGGCGGGGGTCTGAGCCTCTCCCCTCCCGCCCTCCGCAAGCCACACAGCTCTGTCTTGGAGACCGCTGGCCTAGGCCATTGGGTGAGCCGGGCTCCCGGGTCTGGGGCCGGGGCAGAACGGCTGCTCTTGGCACTTGGGGGCAGTATTTCTCTCTCTCTCTCTCTCTCTTTCTCTCTCTCACCCTCACCCTCACCCTCTCACCATTCCTCTTTCTTACCCAGGGCAAGTGTGTGAGTGTGTGTGTATGAACGTGGAAATTTTCTTCCTCCCATCCCTCTCTTTCCCTCAGCTCCCACCCTGTGCACCCCCACCCCTGCCCTCTGGCTACCAGCAGCCAGGCTTCCCAGGCAAGGGGTTTGGTGGGGCATGCAGGGGGGCACCCTGCAGAGAACCACCAGCCAGCTAGGGGCCCCTCCCAACACCTGCTTCCCCTTGCGAGGGTGGGCGTGGCGGCCCAGCTTGGGGTCCTTGGCACTGCGCTCTCCCAGACCCCCAGCCCAGCACCTTAGCTCCCAGGCAGCCCAAGTGTGTGTGTGGGGGGAGGGGACCCCCCTCCCGCTGAAGCACAAGCACCTTAGTCTCCCGCCCGGCCCTCCCCGCCCCAGCACCAATCCCAAAGCACAATATCCTGGTCACTTGGCGTGCAGCGCTCAGGGGGCAGTGGGGGTTCCCAGGTGCGCCCCTCCTCTGGGGCCTGAGCATGGGGGGCAGGGAGTGTGACCAGCTGTCCAGGACCAGGGGTTCTTCTCCCTCCCCACTTCTCCTGGGGTGGGGGGCTTCCTGCTGTGCCTCCCAAAGTTCCTGCTGCTCTGGGCCTGGTGGAGGAGCCCGTCTGTTCAGGGACCCCAGGGGTTGCCCCCCCATCCCAGGCTTCCAGGCTTCCAGAACTCCCAGTGAATTGGGGGGGGGAGGGGAAGGGCAGCGGGGCTGGGCAGGGAGGGGCAGGGGAGAGTACTCCCCACCAGGAGAGCCAAAGACAGGGTTGTGCCTTAGCCCGGGAGCCGCCCCTGTGCACCCCGCCCCCGGGGCGGCCCGCTGCCTTCCTCCCTGCCCTGCCGCTGCATGCCCCCCTCCACGTCCCTACCCCCACCCTGGGCAGCCAGGAAGGATTGCAGGTGAAGAATCATTCACGGACATTAAAAATTATTGAGGGGAGACTGTGGGGCCCCTCCACCCCTCCCTGCCCCTTTCACGCGGGGCCCCTTGCCTCTGCCCCCCCGCGTGAAGTGCCAAGGCCCTCCCCGCCCTCCCCCGGGCCTGTGAGATTGCACATAAACTACTGTAAGGAGGAGGGGCGCTGGGAAATGTGAACCGCGAGAGAGTATCGGTGATGCGAGAATAAACTAACGCCTTTGTAACAGCCTGGATGCCCCGGACTGCTCTCTGCGGGGAGGGGAGGGGGAGAGGGGTGCTGGGCTGGCACCTGCAGCTCCCAGGTGCACCCCCTCCACATCTCTGCTCTTCCCCAGGTGGAAAGGGGCTGCACCAGTGAGGGGGATCCGTTGGAGCTGCAGGTCCCACCCACAGGAAGCAATAAGCCAGGGCCCTGTTTGAGATTGATCCAGGCAGGGTAATTCATAGGGTGGGCCCTTCCTGGGGTCGGGAAAGGACCACCCTGTCGCCCTTCCCTGTGAGTCCAGACAAGGGCATGTTCGGAAGCGAAGGCACTTCCAACTGGATCCACCCCAAGTTCAGGTTCGGTGGGTGGGATGGGTGGAGAGGATGACAAAAGGGCCCATTTCAAGAAGACCAGGCCCTAGGTTGACTGCGGTTTATTTCCCTAGAGGTTGTATTTTGGGAAGGGTGCTGTGGCTTAGCAGGAAACCTCATTTGCAGTGCTGGGCATGCCCACAAACATTAGTGCCAGTTCCTGTCCTGGCTGTTCCACTTCTTTTTAAAGATTTCTCTGTGTTCATTGGGAAGACATTTACAGAAAGATCCATCCACTGATTCACTCCCCAAGTGGCTGTAATGGCTGGAGCTGAGCGCACCTAAAGCCAGGAGCTTCCTGCGGGTCTCCCACACAGCTGCCCGAGGCCCTGCACCATCTGCCCCTGCTTTCCCAGGTGGCTGCTCCACTTCTGGTCCAGCTCCCTGTTCACACGCTTGGAAAACGATAAAGGATGGCTCAAGTGCTTGGGCTCCTGCACCCACGTGGCTGTCCCTGGCCAGCGGCTGCCATCACTGCTGTCTGACTCTGCTATTCACAGCTGCCCTGCAGGTACTGGGCCAGCCCGGGTCCCATCCTGGTTTTCCAGGGAGCTCCGAGCCTCGAGACTGCTTGAGTCGAGGTTGGCTCAGTGTCTCCGGCTGCTGGCCACCCTTCAGGGCCTGGCCCGGGCTCTCCCTGATGAGCCGCTTCGGTTTCTGCCCTCGTCCAGTTAGTGGGGGCGTGCCGGGGTGCGCCTGCTGCGGGAAGGGAGTGCTAGGGCAGGGACCAAGTGCTGGGCCATCCTCCTTGGCCTCCCCAAACACGCTAACAAAACGCTGGGGGGAGCCAGGCTCAAACCAGCTCCAGCGAGGAGTGACTTCGCCTACCGTGTACCACAGCACCTGCGCCTACATCAAGAGGGACCAGGATAATCGTGTCTGTATCCAACACTGGCCCTTGAAATCCAAGACACACACACACACACACACACGCCCCTGTGGAAGCCGCGAGCACAGGGTTGGAATGCAGGTCCAGACAGGGTCACACATTCGTGGTCAATACAGAGTACAAAAACCAAACGGCTGTGGATTTATTTCCAGGTTGGAAGGCACAAAGGCACAGTGGGCCCAGGGCCGTGGTGGGACCCTGGGTGTTGACACAGGTTGAGGGGTTAGGGGTAGGGGGGTGGTGGGGCGGGGGAAAATTGTGTTGGGTCTCCCCACCTCCACCCCCTAAGTGCACTTGAGAAGGCAGGGGCGGGGCGCCCCAGCCCGGGACCCTGGGAATGCCACAGGCTCCATGGGAGAGCCTGGCAGGGCGGGGCGGGGGCAGGCCCAGCTGGCATGGCTGCTGCTTGGCATCAAGGTCAGAGCAGGACAAGCAGAAGGAGGACTAGGAGTAGCACCCCCAGAAGCACCAGGATGGCACACCACTGCTGCCGGTCTGTGGGGTCGGGAGGGAGGCCAGAGTCAACTGCCTCCCCCGACCTGCCACCGCCCCGCCACCCCGCTCACTCACTGCCACCCCCCTCACTCACCGCTGGTCATGTGGGAGACCTTGGCCAGCCTCCTGAGGACGCCGTCCATGCGGGACTGGGTATGCTCCATCTCATGGCCAAAGGCATCCAGCATACTGTGGAGACCACCACAACGAGGTGTCCCTGGGGCTCAGGTAGGTGAGCACACGCCACCTGCCTCCCCAGAGTCCCAGCCTTACATGCCCTGCTCATCCAGTTCCTCCCCAACGCGGCCCGACATGTGTTTCAGGACCCGGATGCTCCCCGACACCATGTCCAGCTGGTGGTCTTGTTGGTCCAGGATCAGCTGCCAGGTTGAAGGGATGCAAGGTTGGCAAGGACAGCCCCTCCCAGAGGGCCCCCTTCCCCCACCTTCCACGCACCTGCTGTGTGGCCTGCTGCTCCTCGAGGTAGCGAGACAAGGCCGAGACCATGCTGGCATCCAGCAAGTCGCTGGGGGACTTCTGGGCAGCTGATTTGCCGGCCAGCACCTGCAGGGAACACAGCCCATGGGCTCAGGGCGGGACAGCCACCGCGTAGGGGACAGCATGTGAGGCATGACAGCCTAGGGTCCTCCCGGGGCCACTAGGCAAAGCTGCAGCCTAGTCGCTGGCATCCTATAAGGGCGTTTGAGTCCTGGCTGGTCCAGCTGGGCAGGCGTGATGACAGCGCGAGTGCTTGGGCTCCTGCACCCACGGCCAAGACCACGTTGGACCCTGCACCCGCGTGGGAGAACCAGAAGAAGCTCCTGGTTTTGGATCGGCTCAGCTCCAGCTGTCACAGCCACTTGGAAGGAACCAGTGGATGGAAGATCTTCCTTTCTGTCTCTCCTTCTCTCTGTAAATCTGCCTTTCTATAAAAATAAATAAATCTTAAAAGAAAAAAGTGGTGGATCAGCTGAAAACTGAATCCGTGCCATATCCCTTAATAAAGCTCACGGAGGCACACGGGATCAGCGTGGGTGGATGGAGGGCGTCAGGACCCCTCACCTCACTGTTATTCCTCTCCATGAAGGCCAAGGCCGTTGGGCTCGCCATGTGGTCTTTCATTTCCTGGGCAAGAAGGCAAGCAGGATGTGAGATAGGAAACACGGCCCCCAGCCCACACTGGCTCAGCCCTCTTCCCGGGGTCCCCCCCACCCGCAGCTTGGCCACTCTCACCTGCACCGCCTCCCGCATCTGCTCCACAAACGCACGCCTCTCCTGCAGATCTCCAGCCGGGAGCTTGAACTTGCCGGGGTTGGCTTCCACGATGCGTGCAGCGGCTTGGCAGTCAAGGCTGTGTGGGGGTCTTGCAAGCCAAGGGCCACTCCCCCACCACCCCGATCCCGCCACCTCGCCCCAATGCAGTGCCACCACCCCATGCAGTGCCACCACCCCCACCACCACCAGGATATCGATGGTCTCCTCCAGGTCCTCCAAGTCCCACTCGATGCTGCGCAGCCCGTTGCGCAGCTCATTGGCCGTCCAGTCCAGCTCCTCGCGGCCGCCCGCTGAGCCGGCTTGCAGCAGCTCGCTCCAGCGCTGGTGCAGCCCCCGGGCCGTGTTCACCGCCTTCTGCACCTCGCTGCGGGCAGGGGGTCGCCAGGGCGGTGCGGCTGAGCGCCCCCTGCGCCCCTCCAGACCACCCACCCATGTATCACGCCCCGCGGGCTCCCGGGCCGGGGACGAGGGTGCTGATCGCCGCCGCTGCCCACCCCTCACCCCACAACACCCGCGTCACTGTCACTCACCCTCGCACTACAAAGAAAGGGTCTTCGAGAGACATGGTTCACCCTGCCTGCCTCCCCCCGCCCAGGAGGCCGAAGCCCCGCTGGGCTGGGGCAGGGGCTGCGGCTGGAGAGCGACCCTGTGCCTTGGAAGACCAGGAAAACAGAGCAGAGAAAGAGGGAGCCGCCACCCCCGGCCCCCGGTTCGCCCACCATCGAGAACACGGCCTCCGGTGCGGAGAGAGAGGCCCCGAGCGAGGGCACTTCCGCCCTCCAGGCGGCCATCATGGTTGTGGGCAGCAGAGGCGACTTCCGGCCCGTGGACCCCACTTCCCCCTCGCGTCCTCACCCCCATACTCAGCATGGTGGGCGTTCCATCTGAGAAAGTGGGGCGCCCCGAGTGGGAGGCCTCAGGGACTGTATTGGGGGGGGAACCCGCGCCGTGGGTGACGGCTGGAGTCTGTCAGAGTCGCTGTGTGAGCGTGGAGGGAAAGTGGGGCCTCTTGCTTTTGGGGTCCCCGGTCAGGGGGCGTCCTGTGGCGGGGAAGGCACAGCATGGACGCCACCAGCAGTGTCTGGGGTTTTGTTTTGAGGTGGGGAGCTCGTCGCTTCCCGCCCACGTGCGAGGGCGGCCCCGGCGTGGGTAAGGGTCCTCCCGGACGCCCCTGGACGCGAAGCCGGCCCCCCGAGGAGGGAAGAAGGGAAGGAGGCGCCATTGCCCGGCCCCCCGCCAGCCTCGATCCGGAAGCCACCGGCTCCAGCCGGCTCGGACCGCCCGCGCCCAGCGGGAAGGAGGGGCGGGGCCTCATCCATTGCCACGCCCCGGCCGGAAGCGCACCCCGCCCACCCATCCGCCGAGGCGGGATCCCGGCCTCCCCCCTCCGCCTCCACGAAGCCCGGCCCTTATTTGGGCAGCCGGAAGCGGCTGGCGCGTTCGCCCGACGTCACCGCTTCCAAATTTAGTCGGGGAAGTCAGCGCGGGGCGGGGCCTGGGTGGCGGGAAGGCCGCGGCGGGCGGCTCTTAAAGGGCCCGCGCCGCCCACGCACGCGCTGCACCCGGGGGCACCCAGCCTTGATCCGTTTTATGGTTTTGGTGTTTGCAGCCGCGGGAGTTTTCTTAGCGGGACTGTGCGTGGCCGGGGAGGTGGGGCCTGTGTTTGTGTGTGCGAGCGCGCTCCGCCTCCCGGGGGTTCGGGCTGCAGATGCGGCAGCCACGTGGTGCGTCTGCCATCCCACGCCGGGCGGGCCTGCCAGCCTGGGAGGCTGCGGGTGGCTCGCCCTGGCAGCACCGTCGGCTGTGAGCTTGCCTTCGGCTCGCGCTGGGTCGTGCAAGCCAGCAAGTGGCGGGAGAGCGCGCCCCGCTTCCCTCCCCTCCAAGGGGGAGCTGCACCATCCGCGGGGCGAGCACCGTGCGCCCTGCCCCTGGCCCCCCGAGGAGGGCAGAGCTCTGCTGTGGGTCGGGGGGCCGCCTGCAGACGCGCGCACGTGGGTGGGCGCACTCCCCGCACCCCCAGACCCTCCCAGCCATCCCCAGGGCTTGCATCCCCCGCGTGGGTGCCTGGGGGCTGCAGCGGCGTGCACCGCACGAGGACCCCCGCCAAGGGAGCGCAGCTGGACGGAGGACCCCCCAAACCACCAGCATCGCGGCAGGCCGCCCCCTGCACGCACTTCCTCCCGCAGAGCGTAAATAACCACCTTGCCCCTTTAAGGAGGCTCCGGCGGAAAGCCCGGATGCGGCCTTTTGGACGGGGCGGGGCGTCCCCGTGACGTCAGGCGGGGTACAAAAGGGCTCCGGGTGGCGGGCGCGGGGCAGACCGTCCGAGCGCCGTGTCCGCGTGGCTCGTCCCGCTCGTCCCCGCGCGCGCGCACACGCACACGCACACACGCACCTGCCCTCCGCCCGTCTCCGCACCCGCCAGCCCGGCTCCCCGCGTCCTCACTCGCTCCCGACCCGAACCGTCGAGCCGCAGGCGCCATGGAGGTGCAGAAGGAAGCGCAGCGCATCATGACCCTGTCGGTGTGGAAGATGTACCACTCGCGCCTGCAGCGCGGCGGCCTGCGTCTGCACCGCAGCCTCCAGCTGTCGCTGGTCATGCGCAGCGCCCGCGAGCTCTACCTCTCGGCTAAGGTGGAGGCCCAGGAGCCCGAGGTGGCCGGCCGCCCCTCCGACCCGCGCCTGCTGCTGCTCGCCTCGCCTCCAGCCACAGAAGCAGCAGCAGCAGCAGCAGCAGCAGCGGCGGGCACGGCCGAGGCGGCGCCCCCCGACGGAGAGCCGCCGTCCCCCGAGCCCATGGACACCGAGGACAACAAGGAGGAGGAGGCGGCCCCTCGCCCTGCCCGGGCCAGCCGCAAGAGACGGAGTAGCAGCCGCCTGAACGACGGCGGACTGGTTCCCAGCAAGAAAGCGCGCCTGGAGGAGGAGGAGGAGGAAGAAGAAGAGGAGGAGGAGGAAGGCATGGTGGTGGCAGCGGCCGCCGAGGAGGAGGAGGAAGAAGAGGCGGCCGCGCGTCTCCAGCCCGCAGCCCCGGCCGAGGGCGCCTTCCCCAACCTGGCGCGCGTCCTGCAGCGCAGCTTCTCGGGCCTCCTGCACCGCAGCCCCGGCGGCCCCCCGACGGCCGCGCCCGCCCCGTGCGAGGCCACGCCGGCCTGCCGCCCGCCGGACTCGATGCTCAACGTGCTGGTGCGCGCCGTGGTGGCCTTCTGAAGGACCCGAGCCGCCGTCGCCACCGCCGCTGCTGCTGCTGCTGCTGCTGCCTGCCGGAGACCGTGGGGACCCGTGTCGTCGGGGGGTCCGCAGACGACGCCCCCCCCCCACTCCACCACCAGCACACACACACACTCGGCACCCCCGAGGGTGCGGGGCAGGGGGCCACCCCGCGTGAGGAGCCGCCGGCCGGAGCGCAGAGGGGGAAAGAGCCCGAGCCGGGCACGGGCGCTTTGCGCCATCACAGGTGCTACCTTTGCGAGGACTGGGCCGCGGGCCCGAACCTCCTGGATCCCGAGTTAGACCGCAGGACTTGGTTCCGATTGTTTGTTTTTTTTTATATATATATATGTGTGTATGTACACTTGTTTATTTTCTCAGGGCCGGACTTGGATCATGTTTCATTTTTCAACGGGGCCGGAGGCTGTGTCGCCGTCCCTTCCCAAGGCTTCTTGTGCAAGAGTCGGTGCGTGCGAAGCCGGAGCGGAGATGGGTGACCCCCTCCCTCCCTTCCTCCACCAGTTCGGCGACCGAACTTTTGTGCAAGCGGTCATCGTTGCGTCATGCGGCGCTTCCTGTGGCTCGGCGTGGGCGTGGGGCCTGGAGAGGAGGTTCTTCTGTCTGGGGTGTGTGAGCAAGGACCCGCCCTGGTGGGGTCGGGGGCGAGGGTCGCTGAACCCCCCAGCCCCGCGGGAGTGCCCTGTACTGCCTCGTGGGACGCTGGGCACAGGCTCGACTTTGGGGAAGCCCAGTTTGCTGGCCAGGCTGGGCCGGTTGTGGGATTTCGGGGAGGGTGGAAGACGGAAGGGGGCACGCGGGAGTTTCCAAAGTGTCTATTTACTTTTTTTTTTTTTTTTACTTTTTTTCCCCTCCCGCTGTTGGTGGGTTTGGTTTTTCATGCCGTCTTAGAGACTTGATGTTTTGTGAACAAGGTCAGAAAAATAAAAGCTGATTATTGGAGTCGAGCGGAATCTCTCCTTTTTTGGGGGGAGTGGGAAAAGGGACGGGTCGGTGGGGACCACGTGGGCAGGGGCGCACGCAGCACTCCCCGAGCTCGCCTTCCACGCCCCCTCCCCAAATGGGAGAGAATTCCCTCCCCGGTCACAGCTCTGGGGGCGCCGGGCCAAGTCCGGCCCACAGGCCTTGGGAGGGAGCCCCGCCTGGCCGGTGCGAGGTGTGGTGGTGACCTCATGCCTGGACCCAGGCGGGCTGGAGTTTGGAGCGCCGCCGCCCGCCCCACTTCTCCGTCGGGTACAGAGCTGTGGTTGAGGCAGGAGGAAGCGGGAGTTTCCAAGCCTTAAGTTCCGCATCCGTGAAATGGGTGTCGGGCAGCTTTCAGCCACCCCTGAAGGTGCAGGAAAAGACCCCAGAATATCCAATCTAAATTCCAATTAAGCCTTTTTCCCCCCCCAGGAGCAGGGAAAAACAACATTCTTGAGTTTCTTCCTGCCCCTCGGGGGCTGAGGAGGAGGAGGGGCCGTGACTGGCGGGAAAGACAAAGGAGCCGCAGGTGCAGGCTGTGGGGGGCGGCGGAGCGCGCCAGACATGCCTCCCGCTCCCCTTCCCGGGCCTCGGGTGACCCGCGGGGACCAGACCAGGGGCCGGGGGAGCTGCCGAGCCCCAGGCTCCCTGCCCCTTCCCTCCACGTGGGGACTTGGGGAGCGAGGCCCCAGGGTGTTCATTAACCCCGCGCGCCGCTGTCGCTGCTGCCGCCGCCTCCCTCCGGACGCCCGGCGGGAAACGGGGGCCAGGGAGGGGAATCTGTGCAGCCCTGTCCCCCCACTGCGAGACCAGACAGGACTCGGGCTGGGCGGAAGCCCCACACCCCGCAGGCTCCCACGAGCGGCTCCCTGCACCTCACCCCGCCGCCTGCGCAGCGCCGGCCCCGGGAAGTCCCCGGTGGTGGCTTGGGGAGGGGGCCGCGCCCCGCATCCTGTGGCAGGAACCGCCGGGCCCTTCCTTCCGCGGGAAGCGGCCTGGCCGACCCCCTCCCACCCCGCCGGGGCCTGGGCTGTCTGCAGGGGTGGTGTCCGAGGCCACATTGGAGGAGGGAAGGGGAGAGTTGGGGGGCTTTGGAGACGCCCGGACTGACAGGCGCGCACAGCTCTGGACACGCCCCTGCTTGGGGGCCCCCATTATAGCTCCCTGCCCTCCTGCAGCCCGCAGGGAGCCATTGAACAATAGCTGTGACAACAAAAAAGTCACACATCCTGTGACCCCGTGGCTTCCCAGGCCCGCGCGGCAGACCCTTCTTGCAGCATGGAACACCGTGGTTACTTGTTCCCTAACCAGGACAAGATGATCCAGGTCCCCAGATAGAAATGCTTCTCCCGGCCTCGGTTTGCCAGGCTGTATACTGGGCACAGTCACAGCCCCCACCCCAGCATCACCGTGACTGCGTAGGCGAGGCCAAGCACCTGTCAGAGCGTGGGCTGGCAGGTCTAGACGCTGTGCCCTTCAGTATGGGTGATGTGATGGGAAAAAGTGCTCGCTGGCTTGTTGTACACCCTTTGGGAGGCCTCACTCAGCCCGAAGAGGCCACGGGTCCCTTATCTGTTTATATTGGAAGGTCAGAGATACAGAGAAGAGGAAAAGACAGAGAGGAAGCTGATCCGAAGCCAGGAGCTTTTCCTCCAGGTCTCCCACGCGGGTGCAGGGTCCCAAGGCTTTGGGCCTTTCTCAGGCCACAGGCAGGGAGCTGCATGGGAAGCAGCGTTGCCGGGATTAGAAGCGGCGCTTGTATGGCATTCCAGCTCTTGCGAGGTTGACTTTAGTCACCAGGCTACTGCACCCGACCCAGACGCCTAGAAGGTCCTTAAAATGGTTCCTGGGGGGTGAGGACTCCCTGGTTAGAGACACCTGCCTTCCATCTCCGGAATCTGGGGGGGTCCGTGCACCCTGGCGAGGCGACAGGTGAGGTGGCTCAGATCGTCCGATCTATGAACCCCCAATTCCCAATCTTCAGCCTTTGTCAGCCTGAGCCGTGTGGCCAGGTCCAATCTGGGAGAGAAAAGGTCCCTAACCTGACTCTCCTCTCCTCTCTCTACCCTCCCCCTTTTTAAAAAGTTACAATGAAAACAAAAAAAGTTACAATGAAAACAAAATATCCTGAAGCTCGATTTTGAAACAGTAGCCAGAGTTAAGTTGCCCAGGGGGAAATCTCACCAAGTGTGAAAGGTAACATTAGCAGCAAAAGGAAAGCAGAGACTTTCAGGGTTTAAGGATTCTCGGGGATTGAGCCTTTTGTGTTGGCAACATGCAATCATTATGTCGGACTTGGCGCCCCGAAGTTTTCAAACTCCTGCGCGTGCTTCAGCTTGCGTTTGCATCTGCCAGGACGGAGCCCAGAGCAGGTGGGGGAACATCCGAGGTCTCTGCAACCTTCCTCGAACCAGGGAAATGCAGGCCTGTAGCAACACAGCAAGCCTGGGAACCACGCTAGGGTGTCCCCACCTCCCTCGACTCCCCCAGGCTGTGCGGGAGCTGAGAAAGGGGCAGGGCAGCAGGTGGGGGGATCCAGCCCGACACCGGTTTATCCGGTTCCAGGACCCAGGGCGAGGCCTGCACGCCTGCCCGGGGCAGGAAGGACGAGGGACTTGGCCCAGTTGCTCTCCAGGCGTGACCAGGACAAGTCTGGGCAAGGAAACTCGAGCCGGTGGCCCGGCGCAGGGGGCGGGGCCGCCCGCTGTCACTCACCGGCGGGGGCGGGCGGGGCATGGTATGTAAATAAAGCCCCGTCCGGTCCCTGTCGTGGCTTACGAGAATGGACGCGCGAGCAGGCCACGCCCCTCCGGACGCCACGCCCCTTCCGGACTCCCCGCCCGCGCGCGCTCCGGCGGCCGTCACGGGCTGCCCACGCTGTCCTGTCCTGCTCAGGGGCCCCTCGCCTGGGCCCAGGGACCCCCACCCTGGGCCTGAGGAGAGCCAGGGACCCCCACCCTGGGCCTGAGGGGAGCCAGGGACCCCCACCCTGGGCCTGAGGGGAGCCAGGGACCCCCACCCTGGGCCTGAGGGGAGCCAGGGACCCCCACGCCTGAGCCTGAGCCCCGGGACAGCCCGGGAAATGTGATAAGTTCACTGTTAGTTAGGAAGCCTCACCTCCCCACCTGTCAGAGGACCCAGACCTGGGGAGGGGCTGTGTTGGGTGAGTGGTGTCACTCAGCCAGGCCGCTCTTGCACCCTGAAAGAGCCCATCAGGAGGGCCTCTCCGCACTGACGGATGAGAGGGTCTGACAACACTTTCCCTTCCCCGCCCACCGAGTGAAAGTGACCTGTCGCATTCTTGCAACATTTCCCGAGTCGGGTGTGTGCCTGGTGGAGACTGACTCCAGCACCTGGACCACTCAAACCTCAGTCGGTGGGGGACCCAGCTTGGTCCCATAAGCGTCACCCATCTCTGGTGCCAGGGGGCGGGGGCTCCCCAAGCTTCTCAAGAACTACCTCCTACCCCATTCCTGCAGCCAGCCTGGAAGAGGCGGCCTTCCCTTCCTCTGGGCGTGGGATTGCCTCTCCCCCACCCCTTCCTAGCAGGTTGTGGATCCACAGGTAAAAATGAAATCAACATTTGATAACACCCTCCCCCCGCCCCACCAGCTTCCAGAACCTCCTGGTGGGGGGTCCCCGTGGGGGTCCTGCCTTTCCCAGCCAGGCCCCTCCCCTTTGCTGGCCATCATGAACTCCTCCCGCCCCCTCCAATGAGTCCACCCACATCTGGCCGCCAGCTGGGCCTGCCTGCTCCCCAGGTTGGTGGGGTAGAGGTGGGGTGGAGGTGGGGGGTCTCCCAGAGAAATTTTGTTCTTCTGGTGCTCACCCCTCCCCTCCCCAAATCCCACCACCCCACACGAAGCTCTTAATCGGAGACAGCTGGGGGTGGGGGGTGGGGAGGCGCTCGGGGCGGGAGAGGGAGCGGGCAGGTGTCCAACTTGTACCTATGGAGATCAAAGCTTCCAGACCGAGCCCCTTCCTCAGGTCTCACCCCGCCCCGGCCCACACCCGCACCCCCCTGCCCATTCTGGCCACTCTCCTTTATTCCCCTGGGTCGGCCTGCAGCCTGGACGCGATCCCACGCCCGCCATCGCCCGCCCCACCTCCTTTGAAGGAGCTCCCCTGAGGGGCTTCCTGGACCTGGGGGGATGGGGACCGTGAAGAACAATGGGACTTTTGTGGCAGCTGGACGCCAGGCGCTTCCTGTTACCCCCAACCTGGGTGGGGGCTGGGCCGCTCTCCCCTCCCCCAGCTGTAGGAGCCACTCCCAAACCCTGTGCCGTCTGACCGAGGCACGGTTTACAAAAGTCAACACATAAATAAATAAATAAAAGGAGGAACTAAAAGAGAAGTTGGTTTTAGTGCCTTGTTGAGCTTTGAAATCATGCGTATCCCAGGGAAACGGGTGAGGGAAAAAAAAAATGCATGGCAAAAAACTTTGCAGCCGGGGCCCAGCGCGATGGTCCAGCTGCTAAAGTCCTTGAACGCGCCAGGATCCCATCTGGGCGCCGGTTCTAATCCCAGCAGCACTGCTTCCCTTCCAGCTCCCTGCTTGTGGCCTGGGAAAGCAGTGGAGGACGGCCCAAAGCCTGGGGACCCTGCACCCACGTGGGAGACCCCAAGGAAGAAGCTCCTGGCTCCTGGTTTCGGATCAGCTCAATTCCAGACATTGCGGTCACTTGGGGAGTGAACCATCGGACGGAAGATCTTCCTCTCTGTCTCTCCTCCTCTCTGTAGATCTGATTTTGCAACAAAGATAAATAAATGTTTTTTTAAAAATCTTTGCAGTAAAACTTTACCTTTTTTTCTTTTAATTGGGAAGAGAGAGATTCCATTCCCCGGTTTGTGTCCCAAATGCCTGAGGGCAAATTCAGGGGTGTGGATGGGTGGCCAGGACCCACCACCCCTGCCTCTTCCAGGGTGGTCAGCAGCTGGAAGCTGGGTTTGGAGCCCCCAGGTGTCCCACCCCTGAGCTAAATGT